CATCCTTTTTTTTTTTTTTTTTTGCACAATGGGTATTGTATTTATAAGGAAAATGTAGGAAAGACCACACTGCAGAATCCTGAATGACACTATGAAAACCAATACATTTTTGTAGAGAAAATCAGATATCCCATATTCACCTGATTTATGTCATTACAGTAATCCACTACATATGTCTAAGATCACTTAACAATGCAAGAATATAGTGCACGCATGGGCTGCATTCTGTAAATAGGATTAACAGTTGAATTCAACCTAGGCCTTCCCTGGGGACAGATTGCTAGAAAATACATCTACATGACATTTAAAAAAATAAATTAACCAATGACATTGGCTCCCATGAGGCACATTGTTTCTTGTACATTCAATTCTATCATAGATTTCTGTAGCTCTCTGCTGACATCCCCATCCCAAAAGACAGAATTTCAAAACAGAAGAAAAACATAGCAGTTGGAGCTATTCCTTCTCTCCTGCATGAAGTGTTATGTACAGGAAGGAAATATCTCTGTACATTAGCACAATATGAACAGTGACATGATGAGATCATGTCAGTCTGAACTGTGCTTGTGACACTGTGGTCACATATAAGTTGCCCAAGGGAAAGAACAAACTCTCTTTTCCTGCACACTGACTGACAAAGACTGGCAAGGGCTGCAGGAAAATAAGAAGAGCTGTGTTGTGGCAGACAGTGTATATTTCTTCTCTAAAAAGTATTCTTCATTATTATTTTTTTCTTCTTCCCACTTTTATTTAATTTTCCTCATCTGTAAAATAAAAATAACTTTTATGTATTTAACACTTTTACTCTGAGGATGAAATGAAGTACTAGTGGGTTGCCTGGCACATAATAGTTGACCTATACAAGCCACATCGGCATTTGGCTAGCATTAACTAAACACCTATTATGTGGCAGGCAGTGGCCTAAGACCCTAAGAAAAAGTAAATTGTAGGAGGAAGAAGTGATATTGGAGAGAAAAGCAGAGAGCTGATTTTCAAGGGTTTTATAAGCCAGTCTAAGAAGTTTGGATTTTATCTTGAGGACAATGGGCAGGCTTTGAACTACTTTATATAAAGCCAGATAGCTTCAGATTTGCAACTTAGAGAAATCATTCTGTCAGCCTTGGTGGAGAATGGATTGCAAGGGAGGCAGGCTAGAGGCAGTAGTAATCCAGACTATAAGTCATGTGTGTGTGTGTGTG